ATAGCACTATGCACTAGTTTGAGTTAATTTAAGTGTGTTTTTTTTTTTGTGTAAATCTGTTTTTATTAAAGGTTTCAACATTAAATACATTATTCAAAAGAGAATGCAATGTGAGGCACGCAGGCCTTTGTCATAACATGAACATGAGAACAGGTTGTGTAATATCATTTAGGTGGCTGTTTACAGGCGATTGTAACTTGGGCGCCGTCATTCTCAGTTTCCCCTCGTGCTTACCTGACACTATTCTTCTCGCTGTCTGTTGCTACTTGCCAGTGCACATTACTTATTGGTTATTCTTAAGCTAGCAATATTGCCATGTACCTGAGAGTAGCCGCTCTGGCTAAATTGTTCGCTGAATTGAAGGCCAACTTCTATTAAGTTGTTTGTTGTCCCAGTGGTCCTTACTCGACTTTTGTAGGTCAACATAATCTAAGTGCGTGTGAATGTGTTCCTTCATCTACTAGTTTTAGAATGTTTGTAGCGTCGGTTGTTAGAGTTTGTAGTGTTTGGACTTATTTCTTTCTAGAGTTTGTTGGGATTGGTTGGCCCTCGACCTCCAATCCCAGGTTCCCGTGCCTGCCGGGCTTGTGCTTGTGGGTGTGTGTCCGTGGGTGTCTATACTAGGTCATGTGTTTCGTGGGTTGGTTGGGTAACGCGGGTCGTGCAATCCTGGGTTTGTAGCTTTATATGGGGCTGTGTTGGGTGCCTTGGTCGTATGATTGTAGCGTTTTTCCCTCTAGTGTGGTGTGTTTTGTGTGTCCATATTGTAGCGGATGGGACCCTTTAAACCCCTTGACTGGACCTAAGGGATTGTGTATGACCTTACTGGCCCTTTAAGAACCGGCCAGGGACATGTTATGACTTTTTGGGAACAATACCCCTTAAAGACTTGGTAGCAGATTACAGTAAGGATGTCTTTTATATTATGTATGTTCCTGTGTGCCCGGCTAAATTGTATATGTGTATGCAGCATTCGGCTGATTGTTCGGTAGAATCACTCCATTCATTATATTGAGTGAAACTACCGAACAGCCAGACCACCCGGGAATAAGTGTGCCTCCAATTATTCCAATAATTCCAATAATTGGCAAATCTGTGTAATGTGTTCTTTGTCCTCTGGGTGGCCGCCATTTGGGAAACAAACACGTGGCGGCAGCCATCTTAAACTCCCGAACAGCTGTGTTTTGCCGTCGAGTGTCTGGAACTAAAATCGGACACTCTACTAGGCAAACGCCGCTGAGACCTCCAGACTTCCAGCAATTCGTGCAGAAACTACCGAACGGCCCGTCGGTAGAAATGAACCCATGAACAAGGGGATTCATACGAATTCTCCCCAAGCTCTATAACCCAGGCAATTCGTGTGTTTTCATTCCTTTTTCTGTGACCGACTGCAGGGCCAAAATGCATGGAACTATTTTCGGATACTTCTGCCATGCAGTCAGTCAAAACTTTAACCCTCCATAATTCCCGAACCCCTGGTCCGATCTGGGTGATTTTTGGATATGTGCCTCACCCAGATCGAGGCTACCTGGGGATGTAACATTTAAAGGTGTACCCCCCATATTTGGGGTACATCCAAAAATTGGGGAAAGTGTGTATGGTATAATTGTGTTGTGTTAATCTAAGGGGAGGAGATGTGTGGGAGGTAACAGGTATGGGAGGTAATCCCTCCCTTGCATGGGAGAATGTCTTAAAAGGAGGTGGTGTGAATAAACCGGGAGTTCCTGCTTAACCCTCAAAGTGAAGTGTCGTCTCATTATTGGGGGAGGATTTATTGTATGCTGTTCCAGTTTGACTGCTAGGAGTGTAAACCTATTCACATGGTTTTTCCTATTCGGTAGTACAACATTCATATGCTTGAGAGCATTCATATGCTTCTCCGGTTCGGTGGTTGTGGTGTCTGCTGCAGTGGTTCTGGTGCCGATGTGTCTCTCACATCTCCAGCAGTTACCAGAGATTGATTCGTGGACATGTCGAAGGGTGTCTGGGGTCCTGTACCAATGCGTCAGTAGTTTGTAGTTGGATTCCTGGTATTTTGAGGAAATGGATCCTGTGTGTTAGTAGGGAGATTTTATCCCATTCCTGGTCGGTAAGTGTGGTCTTCGTGTCCCGTTCCCATTTTGTCGTAAATGCCAATGGGGGTCTTTCGTCATTGGACATTAGGGTGGTGTATAGTAGCGACACCCCGTTTGGGAGGTGTTGTCTGGTCGTGCAAGTGTGTTCCATGTATGTCAATGGCCTGTGCAGGTGACCTGATGGTCGAGTAGTAGGTCCTGATCTGGTGGTAGTGAAATTTGTCTAGCTGTGTCGGTTTATGTTGCGCGAGCTTGTCTGCTATTGGTTTGAGTGTGTGTGAGGTGCTCCATTTGTGCATGTATTCCCAGTCTGTGGCTTGGAAATTCTTCAGGGCAGTGGGGTGTAGCCCCTCCGCCAGGTCTGGGTTATGTGTGACGGGGTTGAGCGGGTTAGGTGAGGTCGTCCGTTGTCTGGTAAATCGTATGGAGCACCACACTCGGAGCGTTGCGTCGATCACCGGATTGCCCGTGTGAATGTCGGCATAGGTTGAGCTCCCGTGCCAGAGTCTGGATGGTATCTTTCCCTGGGTTTGGTGAATTTCCATTTGTACCCATAATCTCGGGCTCGGGTTGGCGTGCCAGTCTACTAGCCGTTGCAGGTGTGTTGCGTGGTAGTATGTGAGCAGAGGGGGGAGTCCCTCGCCACCTTCTTTCTTGGGTCATTCCAGGGTCGTTCTGCGGATCTGGGTGGGCTTGTGGTTCCATACGAATTTTCGGATCGCTGTTGTCAGTGAGTGGAAGTATGCTCTCGGCAGTGGTGTTGGGATAGTCTGGAACAGGTATAGGAGACAGGGAAGTGCGTTCATCTTGACCGCGGTGATGGGGCCTAACCATGAGATGTATTGGGATGACCAGTTGTGGAGGTCGTTCTGCAGTGTCATTAGGATTGGGAGGTAGTTTGTGCAGTATAGGAGTGTGAGATCGGTCGGCAGCCAGACTCCGAGGTACCGAAGTTTGTCCTCACAGAGTTTCAATGGGAATTGCGAGATGAGTTGGTTTAGATGTTTGGGGACTCGCGTTACAGGCATAGCTTCAGATTTGCTCAGGTTGAGCTTTAGGTTAGACACCAGGTTATACTTCCGGAAGGCTTCTAGGAGGTTTGGAATGGAGGTTCTCGGCTGCTCTAGTAAAAATAGCATATCTTCCGCGTAGGCGGCCACCCAATGCTCGACCTCACCCATGCGGAGCCCCATGATTCCCCCATCTCGTCTGACCGCCTCAAGAAAAGGCTTGAGAGGGCAAACAGGAGGGGGGCCATTGTGGATGGGGAAAGGTTTTGTTAGGGCACAGTTGACGTGTATGCGTGCTGTTGGGGTGGTATATAGTGCCGCAACCCAGGCCTGCAGGGTAGGGCCAAAGCCCATGTGCTGAAGGGTTTCCGCTAGGAAAGTCCAGTCCACTCGGTCGAAAGCCTTTTCGGCGTCAGTGGAGAGGAGTATCACATCCTTCCCGGCGTGCTTCGCATGATGGATGACATTAAGTACCCTTATGGTATTGTCGACTCGTGTGTCCATGAACGGGATGTCGTGGTGTGCTCTAGCCGCCCTCATGATGGATTCTTTGAGCTGAAAAGAGAGCAAGCAGCAAATTACATCCCTGGGTAGTCCGTCCCGACTGGGGCACGCAAGGCCCGATGGGCTCTCTCGATGCCAAAATCTGACTGTGCCTTGTCACCTAATAACTGGGAGAACAGGCTCGTGAGCATTCCATGAGGGTTATCCCCTTCTGTTTCTGGGATGCCTCGGACCCGGATATTGTTTAGTCGGGCCCTGTTGTCGAGGTCTTCTACCTGTCTCCTGAGGTTGAGAATGATATTGCCCTGCCTGGTGGCCGCCAGGTCTGCCGCTTGGCTGTGCTGCTCCGCTTACATGCGGTCGACTTCCAGGTCATCTACCCGGTGCTCCAGGGCCGTGAGGTTGCTCCTGACCGCCTCGATTTCTTCTCGTATTACTGACCGGAGCTCTGCAACCATCTCGGCTTTGTCTTTGCGGGTGAGCATGCTCGCGGAGATGGCTGCCAGGTCCGCAGAAATCTGGGAGAGTGCATCCATGTCCTGGTGGTCCGGCGTTGATTCTGCCATGCTCGCGGAACCAGGGGAGGTAGGCGCCATATTGTCATGGTCCCGAGTGCCGCGTAGGCCTTGAGGCGTGGAGAGGTATTCATCCATGGGGCCGGGCTGCAGTCGGTGCTGTGCAGCTGGAGCCAGCCCTGGGGTGGCTGGACGTTTAGTTTTCCCCATTTTCTTGTCGTTTGCCGCCGTGTGTTAAGGCTTTTTGCGGGTTGGGGCGTAGGAGCTCGAGTCTCGTGCATCCTACTCCATGTGCGGCCAAGCCATGCCCCCCTTAAGTGTGTTTTTTATCTTAGCTGAGGAAGGGACAGAGGTTCAGGTAGGCATTAGTGGCTCATCCATGGTGCGAAGGTACTATAGGGACAGCCTTGCTTTTTTCTAGCAACTGGCTCTGGGGGATTTTGAGGGGGGCTCCCCTATCTATCTGTTTTTCTCCCACCTATTCTATTACCTCTGTATATTCCTGCTCCCCTGTGTAGGCAGTTTGGCATTTTTTCAGCTACTAGTAAATTCACTGCAGATTCAGTCTATCTAGTGGTCTTCAAACTCAACAGCAATGCAAAAAGGATTTTGCATACTGAAGGTGTTGCTAATAAAGTGCTGCACTCTTTCTTGGCTGGTGTGTTTAGCATAGAAGAACTTGCTGGTATATGTTGATGCACTGTCACCATTGTTGTATCTTTCAGATTTGACAGCAGTATGTTCTCTGCCTTGCGTACATGGTCTTCAGTCTCTTTGACATCAAATACTGTGCAGGACTACTGTCCATAGGGCCGGCCTTAGGGGTGTGCGAGCCGCACAGCCGACAGGAATAATAAAAAAAAAAATACACTGTGGTGGGGCGGAGCTTCCCGTGCGGCGGGGGCGGAGCTAAAAGTGCCGGATAACTGCTGCAGGGGAAGCAGGAAGGAGTCCCTGCTTCCCCCAACAAACAGTCTCCAGGAGCTGCACTGCCTTCACAATGAACAGAGGTAACTATGTGATTGTCAGTGTGAGTGTGACTGTCTGTGTGTCTGTGACTGTCTGCCTGTGTGTGTGTGTGTCTGTGTAGGACTGTCTGCCTGTGTGTGTGTGTGTCTGTGTCTGTGACTGTCTGCCTCTGTGTGCCTGTGTGTATGACTGTTTGCCTGTGTGTGTGTATATGTGTGTCTGTGTGTGTATGACTGTCTGCCTGTGTGTGTGTGACTGTCTGCCTGTGTGTGTGATTGTGTGCCTGTGTGTGTCTGTGTGTGTATGAATGTCTACCTGTGTGTGTGTATGACTGTCTGACTGTGTGTGTGTCTGTGTGTGTGTGACTGTGTGTGTCTGTGTGTATGACTGTCTGCCTGTGTGCGTTTGTGGCTGTCTGCCTGTGTGTGTTTGTGTGGCTGTCTGCCTGCGTGTATGTGTGTGGCTGTCTGTGTGTGTGTGTGTGTGTTTCTGCCTGTGTGTGTGTGGCTGTCTGCCTGTGTGTGTATGTATGTGGCTGCCTGTGTGTGTGTGTGGCTGTTTGTGTGTGTGACAGTCTGCATGTAAGTATGTGTGTGTAAGACTGTATGTGTGGCTGTGTGTGTGTGTTTGTAAAACTGTATGTGTGGCTGTGTGTGTTGCTGTCTGCCTGTAATTGTGTGTGAGTGTATTTATCTACCTGTAACTGTGTATGTGTGTTACTGCCTTTACCTGCGTGTTTCTGCCTGATCCTGTGTACGTGACTATCTGCCTGCGACTATGTGCATGTGGTGGATTTGACAGTGTATATGTATAACTGTGTGCATGTGACTGTGGGAATGTGTGCACATAACTCTGCAAAAATATACATCTGCATTCACACACAGGCCTAAATGCATGTTTTTATCTGAATTAAATACCCATCACACACAGCGAATAAACCCAGCACAAATTTCACATACAACCAATACACACATATCACACTCTGTTAATACACCCATTACAAATATCACACACAGCCATCACATAGCATACATATCACACACAGTCATCACATCTATCACATACAGGGCCGGCGCTACCTGTAAGGCGGACTAGGCCGCCGCCTAGGGCGCCCCTTGGGAAGGGGCGCCGGCCCCCCTTGCTGCAGCCGCCCGAGTGCTCTGTAGAGAGCCTCAGGCAGCTGCAGCTTTGCCCGGGCGGTGCGTCCATGAGGGCGGACCGCACCGCCCGGGCGCAGCCTGAGGAGAGGGGCTGACAGGAGGTAAGCGCACAGTGCTCCCTCCTGTCACTCCCTCAGTTGTAGCATGGCCGAGCCCTGCAGCATGATGGTCCGACGGGTACAGGGAGCATCTGTCTCCTGTACCCGGCCGGACTAACAGGAAGTGCACACAGAGTGTGCACTTCCTGTTAGTCCGGCCTGGTGCAGGAAACAAAAGCTACCTGTACCCGTCAGACCATCATGCTGCAGGGCTCGGCCACGCTACAACAAAGGTGGGGGGGAGGAGAAAGAAATTGGGAGGGAAGGGGGGAGAAGAAATGGGGAGGGTGGAGGAAGAAACTGGGAGGGGAGTGGGGGGAGAAGAAATCAGGAGGGGGAGGGGGGAGAAGAAATTGAGGGGGGGGGAGAGCAGTCATTGAGGGGAGGGGTAAGAAGAAACTAGAGGGAGGGGAGTGGGAGGGGAGAAGAAATCTGGTAGGAGGGGAAGAAGAAATGGGAGGGTGGAGAAAGAAACTGGCAGGAGGGGGGGAGGAAGAAATGGGGAGGGTGGGAGAAGAAGAAAATTGGCAGGAGGGGGGGGAGAAGAAGATATTGGTAGGGGAGGGGGAGAAGAAGAAATTGGTAGGAGGGTAAGAAGAAATTGGAGGAGGGGGTAAGAAGAAATTGGGAGGGAGGGGGAGAAGAAATTGGCAGGAGAGAAGAAGAAATTGTTATGGGAGGGTAGAAGAAATTGTAGGCAGGGAGAAGAATGTGAGGGTGGGATGAAAAGAAATTGTAGGAGGGGGAGAAGAAATTTGGGGAGGGTGGGAGAAGAAGAAATCAAGTATAGAAGAAATAAAACTGGTAGGAGGGGGAGAAGAAAATGGGGAGGGTGGGGAGAAGAATAAATCTGGCAGGGGAGAAGAAGAAATTGGTAGGGGAGGGGGGGGAGAAGAAGAAATGGGGGAGGGAGTGGGGAGAAGAAGAAATTGGTGGGAGGGAGAGAAGAAGAAATTGGAAGGGGAGGGAGAGAAGAAGAAATTGGAAGGGGAGGGGGGAGAAGAAGAAATTGGTAGGGGAGGGGGGAGAAGAAGAAATTGACAGGGGGAGACGAAGAAATTGGTGGGGGGGAAGAAATTGACGGGGGGTGAGAGTGACAGGGGAGGGAGGGGCAATGAGAGTGGGAAGGGGGAGGGGAGAAGAGAGTGACAAGGGAGAGGGGGGAGAAGAGAGTGACAAGGAAGGGAGAGGGGGGAGAAGAGAGTGACAAGGAAGGGGGGAGAGATTGACATCCATCACACACACATGCAATGCACCCCTTGCACACAGAAAAACACACAATGCATTACACACACACACACACACAATGTAACCCTTACACACAATGCATCCCTTACACACACAGAAACACACAATGCATTCCTTACACACACACTCAATGCACCCCTTACACACACTCAATGCACCCCTTACACTCGCACACACTGCATCCTGTACATACACAGAAACACACCTTGCAGCCCTTACACATACAAACACAGATTCACACAATGCATTCCTTACACACATATCAGGAAATCCCCTACACACTCCACCCACTGTGAACAAACTCATTGGTGGAACATGAAGGTGGACCCTGGGACCCAGACCTTGAGCTGTGTAAAGGGCCCCCCAAAAATGGAGCTGCTTCCCGTTCTCCCAGAATATTGATTTTTGTGACCACAGTTACAAACAGCCTCCAGAGAGCCTGTTGTACACCAGACCAGTGGAGCCAGACTGCAGCAAGAGCCCATCATCATCCTCATCTGATTGTAAGTAGGCAATCTAGTATATTACTCGTGGCACTAATCTCTAATTTACCTCACATTAAAGAAACACTATAGTCCCCAGAACCACTGCAGCTTAATGTAGTCGTTCTGGTGTCTATAGCCTGTCCCTGCATGCCTTATAATGTAAACACGGCCGCACTGCAACACTGGCGTTAGTTAACATGGCAGATCATATGGGTGGAGCATTGTGATGTCACATGGGGGGGGGGGCGGCAAACTTTACTTTTGCCTAGGGCGGCAAAAATCCTTGCACCAACCCTGATCACAAGCATTGCATAATATATGGATGACAGGGAGCGCTGTGAAGATTTTTCGCACAGGGCGCCAAAAGGCCTAAGGCCGGCCCTGACTGTCCATGCCTTCAGTTGGGGCATTCCTCCTATGTTGAATGGCTTTCCATGGGTCTTTCTTCACTTTCTTGAAAAGATTCTTTGCTATCTTTACAGCTGATTCGGCTTTACCAATAGCTGTGCTAGTCTGAGTTACATGTGTTTGGGCTTAGGGGAACTCTTACTCCCAGTGTTTGCTGCCTTTTACACTTCATCTTTATCTTATTACTAAATTAAAGCCCTTTAACTCCCAAGTATTTTTAGGTGTTCACAACAAACCAGTAATGATATACTTATTTTGCTATTCTTGATGTAATTCAAACTTGATCTACAAGATATGTTTCCCTTCATTATTCTAATAATGAAAAAAAGAAGAAGAAAAAAAAAACACGACAATCATTAATCTTCCAATATCATCTCACAATGTAAATACTTGCTCAAGGCAGGGCTGTATTTTCCCTAATTTTATAACATGACAGGAGGCTTCGTATTTGCTTTAGTCTCTCTTTACTAGAACTCCACAGCAGCACTGAAAACAACCAATCAGAAAAAAGTTATTTACTATAAAACTCCCCTCCCCATGCATCATTTCCTCTTTCTTTGCTGCTCCGCATCAGTACAGGTCAGAGTACCACTGCCTCCTGCTCTTAGTGGGTGGCTTTGGGATGTATTTATGACTTATTTATATTTTATTAGTTATCTTTAATTTATTTGGGATTACTGTCCTTTTTGCTTCCCCTGTCTTTGTTTGGGGATATTGTCTTTTATATTGTGGTGGCTTTATGGGTTTTTTCTGGGGATACCTTTTCGGTTGTTCCCACTTTGCATTTCATACCTCCCCTCCCCCTCCTCCGGCTACCCACTTTCTAGCGCCCCCTTTTGTTAGCTTTCCCGTCCCCACCCGCGGGCTACGGCGCTTTGCTCTGGGCTTCAGGAGTCTAGCCGTTGGCTGCCTCCTCTGACTCCCCGAGCTCCAGTGTGCACCGACCGGCATCTGGGTTACTCGCGGACGGCCGCGAGTACCCTGCGTCCGTCCGGTTAGAGGAGGGTGCGCATGCTCGTGGCCCCTTCTCCGGACACGGAGGTCGGATCTCGTGGAGTACGCATTCATTATCAGTGAATATAGGATATACTGTAGCTGTATACACATTGATTCAGTGTGTATGAAACATATCTGGTTTTGTTTGCAGTTGTTGCTCCGCTGGGATTCTGGCTCTTCTACAGGGCGTAGACAAAGTCAGTCTCCTAGCTTGTGCTTCACATAGTTTCTTTCCTGGTCCACTTGGTGTAACAGGGTCTGTTGCTATTAGAGTTTGGAAGGTGGTTTCTTCCAAGCTCAGTAAGGAGCTGCATGGGGTTTGGCATTGTTAGCACCTTCTCCTGTATATACCATGGGGCAATACCCTTCAGGTGATATGATGATGTATAATAAAGATATCACAAACTTCACTTTATGTACATGTACATAGACTATTCACAGTTTAAGGTTGGAATCACTCAGTATCCCTTGATTTTATGAACCCTGTAATCACTGGAACAACTACAACTTATATGGTATTTCCATCAACAGTGATCAAGTGTGGCATATGCCAGAGATGACAGTACTGTCAAGAAGTCCACAATCATTAATGTATGCATACCCTTTTAAAACTACAGCTGGAAGATCTCTATCTTGCCTGCTGGGCATTAAAGGACTGCCAGTTCCTGTTAAGGTTATTCAGACAATATTCGCTGTCTAAAGAGGTTAGTGTCTGGTGTCAGGATTTACAGGTAGTCACGGGACTCAGCCCAAATACAGGGGTCTCTTATTACCCATTTAATACACCACCCATGATTGGCCTGCTCTGTCTGTGCCCCCTTGATTGGCCTGCTCTGTCTGTGCCCCCTTGATTGGCCTGCTCTGTCTGTACCCTTTGAGTGACCTGGTTGGTCTGTACTCCCTTAGCCCCCTCTGGCCGCAGGAAATTTTACTGGGGAGTCCCCACTCTACTCACTATGGACACTGAGGTGTGTATGTGTGGCAAAACCGACCTCGCCACGTGTCCTTGGAGGGGGCTGCTTGCCCGCCTCTTGCCTTTGGACTATGGCCCTGCAGGTTAAACTGTTTATTTTCCCTGCAGAAAGGCTTATTCGTGTGATCTGAGTGCCATTCATCTAATAATGTGCAGTCAGATCCAAGCTATCTGGGGATATGTAGAAATGTGTGTTTTATGTACTAAATGTGTCAGTATGTAATTTTATGTCTTTTACTGTCTTTTTGTCTGCCATGTGGGTAATGGAGTTTGGCTCTGTCTTTGGAGATAATTAGATTCCTTCTCCAATTATCTCCAGGGCAGAAGGGGAGGAAGCCAGGATGCATTGTGGGGATGTTTTACTTTTACTGTTTGAGCCAGGGGGAACAAAAGATACTTTTACTAACTTTTGAACCCCTGGTCTGATTCATGCCATTTTTTAATATGTTGTTCCCCTGAATGGATTGATTGTGAATATGTATTTTTATGCGAATGTGATGTATATTTTGGGAGTTATGAATGTTGTGTAAAAACTGTATTCCTCTGCCGGTGATAATGAGATTACCCATTGTGTTCAGTAATCATATCACATGCAGAGGGGAGGATTTTGTGTGGGAGTGTCTGGGTGTATTGTACTGGATTGATTGGTTGTTTTGTAACGCCCTGTGGGCTGTACTATGTTTGTGGATTGGAATAAAAGAGACTGTATGTGACAGTACAGAGAGTTCCTGTTTTAACCCTCAAAGTGAAGTGTCGTCTCATTATTGGGGGAAGGATTTATTGTATGCTGTTCCAGTTTGACTGCTAGGAGAGTAAACCTATTCGTATGGTTCCTATTCAACTGTCTACAGCATTCAAATGCTTGAGAGGATTCATATGCTTCTCCGGTTCGGTGGTTGTGGTGTCTGCTGCAGTGCTTGGAGTCCTCAGGAAGCGCTAGGAGCATCCTTTAACGGAGGTACCCAGTCGGGGTGCCAGGCGATCCGTTACATTGGTGGCAGCGGTGGGATGGCATCCTAGTGCGAGGAGAAGCAGCTCGGAGACACCGGTAACGTGTGGAGTTGTGCAGCGTCCTTATCTTCAGCAACATAATGGAACCAGCAGTGGCTACAGCAAGCATGGCGTATAGCTACTCCGTACTAGAGTTTGGCACGATGGTAGGGTTGCACCTGAAGTTTTACGGACCCAATCCAGAGGAGAAATACGTGCGGTTCGTGTGGGACATGGTGACCCGGAACCTACAACACAGGGCGTTGAGGGAAGGCCAGTGGGCACGTTGGGAGAAACTCCAGCCACAGGTAGAGTGGGACGAGGAAGAAACCGAGGTGGCCGGTGGAGATGGGACCGAGGTCTCTCTACCGGCCCTACAGGGATGCTGGGCACCCGGCCCAGATCCCCAGCGGCAGTATGTTTTACAGGGAGGGGAGACAGTCGGTCTCACTCCCCAGCGGCAGAATGTGTTATTGGAGGAAGAGACAACCGGTCTCCCTCCCCAACAGCAACCAGAGGTACCCGAGGTAGAGGACCTCATAGACTGGTCCTGGGAGGACCCCCAGGCAGGTGGAGATGGGACCGAGATCTCTCCACCGGCCCTACAGGGATGCTGGGCAACCGGCCCAGATCCCCAACTAGAGCTGGAGTTACAGAAAGTGGAGAGCATCGACCTCCCCCCCCAGCAGCAGCCGGAGTACCAGGGGGAGGTAAGTGATATTTCTCCTCCCCAGCCAACTCCTTTGTTCCCTGACCCCCCAGCAGAAGAGCTGGCAACTGGGCAGAGCGCCGCTGGCCTCTGTCCTCCCTTGTTTCCTTCCCCTGAGCCTGACTTTCTACAGGCTGCCCCAGCGGAAGGTGCCGTCCTTCCTCCCCAGCGGCAGTGCGTACCCCAGGGAGCTGATGGTGTCGTCCGTCCTCCCCAGCAGCAGTGTGTAACCCAGGGAGCCGAAGGTGTCGTCCTTCCTCCCCAGCAGCAGTGTGTACCCCAGGGAGCTGAGGGTGCAATCCTTCCTCTCCAGCGACAGTGTGTACCCCAGGGAGCTGAAGGTGTCGTCCTTCCTCCCCAGCGGCAGTGTGTCCTGCAGGGAGCAGAGACCGTCAGTCTCACACCCCAGCAGCAGGACAAAATAATGAAAGGGGAGACAGCTGGTCCGCCTCTCCACCAGCAGAGAGAGTGTCAGGGAGAGGAGCCTGTTAACCCCTCTCCCCAGCGGCAGTTGACAGTCCAGAGAGAGGAGCTTGTTACACCCTCTCTCCAGCGGCAGCCTAACCCACCAAGGGGAGATGTTGAGCCCCGCAACTGTGCAGATGGGACCGTAGTCTCTGCGCTTACAGCCCAAGGGGTAGAGACGGTCGGTCCTGTTCCCCAGCCCCAGAGCTGTGTACCCAGAGGGGAGACGGTCGGTCTCCCCCTCCCACAACCAGGCTCCAATCAGGCTACTTCGGTGGTAGCACTGGCACCAGGGCAGAGTACCGCTGGTCTCTGCCCACTCAGCAACCCACCAAGGCAGTCTACCAGCTCCCCACACAGCCGTGGTGAGGCACCTGGACATGGACAAGTTGCTACTTTATCCAGGTGGAGTAAACATTTATTGTGGGTGGGCTGTACTGCTGTTTGTGCTTCGTGGGTGGGTTGCTGGACTAACCAGGGCACTGACCGGCAGGAGGTCAGATACCCTGTTAGTCTGGGGGGCAAAGGGGAGAAGTGTGGCAAAACCGACCTCGCCACGTGTCCTTGGAGGGGGCTGCTTGCCCGCCTCTTGCCTTTGGACTATGGCCCTGCAGGTTAAACTGTTTATTTTCCCTGCAGAAAGGCTTATTCGTGTGATCTGAGTGCCATTCATCTAATAATGTGCAGTCAGATCCAAGCTATCTGGGGATATGTAGAAATGTGTGTTTTATGTACTAAATGTGTCAGTATGTAATTTTATGTCTTTTACTGTCCTTTTGTCTGCCATGTGGGTAATGGAGTTTGGCTCTGTCTTTGGAGATAATTAGATTCCTTCTCCAATTATCTCCAGGGCAGAAGGGAGGAAGCCAGGATGCATTGTGGGGATGTTTTACTTTTACTGTTTGAGCCAGGGGGAACAAAAGATACTTTTACTAACTTTTGAACCCCTGGTCTGATTCATGCCATTTTTTAATATGTTGTTCCCCTGAATGGATTGATTGTGAATATGTATTTTTATGCGAATGTGATGTATATTTTGGGAGTTATGAATGTTGTGTAAAAACTGTATTTTCCCTACCTATGATAATTGTATTTCCCTGTGTGTACAGATAATTAGTTTACAGGTAGAGGGGGGGGCTATGTGTGGGATGTAACTATTGTGTGATTGGTTAATGTACGTTACTGTGTGTGTCCCTCCCCTTCATGGGAGCACCTAATAAAAAGGGCTGCAAGCTAGCAGCCAGAGAGTTCTATTTTTACCCTCAACTTGAGTCCTGTCTCTTATTGGGGGAATCTGCTACAAGGGATTGCTATGCTAGGCATATTCCCTTGCTATAATCACTGAGCTCTTGTAAGGGCTTGTTCCTGCTTCGTTCTGAAGGGAGATAGCTGCAGCCTGCGGTGCTTATGGTGTCTGGTGGAGTGCTTGGAGTCCTCTGGAAGCGCTAGGAGCATCTTTCAACGGAGGTACCCAGTCGGGGTGCCAGGTGATCCGTTACAGTATGTCCATGTAGCAGGGCTACCATACGTCAAGACACCATCCACTAGGGTCACCTGACCCAGTAGAGGCTACGGGTTATGATTTAGGCGGCTGAGGCCACCTCTGTTAGAAAAGCACTGTCCAAGCCTCCCACTACTACCTCATGATAGAAGCGAAAGTACGCAAAAGTAGTCCGGCTATTACTCACCAGACAAGGTCCAGACACGTACACCTAGGTGTTATGAGAAGGGTGAATGCCCTGAACCTTGCGCCCGGATGGGAGAGACCCTGCGAAACACCCTGAGCGGACTGTCACGCTTCACCAGCCCGACAGAGGCATATCTCCTGGGAGAGTTCACAAGGAAACACATACAGTGTCCAGTACTCGGACACCCGCGTGAAAACGCAGGATTGCTTTGGCATTAGCTGCTAGCCACTTATCTGCTAGTCCTGCACAACAGCATGTTTCCTTCCCTTGACCATAACAATCCCCAAGTCGGTCACACCCCATCAGAGACCATACCAAACATTTTTTAGGTCACCAACATTCCATTCACGCAACGAACCATATGGATCTAACCACCAGAAATCCAGTATAGCCCACAGCCAGGGCCCTCACACTTACCTCGAAGTCAATACTGACACCCAGTCGTGCCCCAGAGCAGACACTTATACAACCCTACTAAAGTATGAGACTGCACTCCATTAACGCACGGGGGCTAAATACCCTGCACAAACAGAGACTTCTGGTAGAAGAGGCAAAAAAACAACTCTGATATTCTATGTATACAGGAGACACACTTTGTCCACAATAGAGTACCTAGTTTTGCCATCAGAGACTACCCCACGCAGTACCATTCGACTTATACTTCTAAATCGAGGGGAGTCTCATTCCTTATCCATGCCTCAATATCATTTGAGCTCTTGCACATTAAAAAAGATGTGCAGGGCAGATACCTCATCTTACAATGCAAGCTCAATAATGAACTACATAATTTAGTGGGAATATATAGCCCCAACGATAAACAAAAGGTACTGTCCAAACTCCCAGCTGTCAGACTTCCACAATAATATGCGTAGATTTGAATCATATGTTACAGACCTGTCTAGACACCACCCTAACAGAATCCTCACCTAGGTATAAAATCCTGGGAAAACAAGCAGCACCCGTTATGAAACTTCTTTCCGAATACAATCTATACGATGCCTGGCGATTACATCACCCAAATGACCGGGAATTTACGTTTTATTCCCCAGTGCATAAAACATTCACCAGAATAGATTATATATTTGTATCTGGGGACCTAATACCGAGGACTCGGCACAGCGAAATCGGAAATATAGTATGGTCTGACCATGCTGCGGTAATACTAACATTAAATGACACATTCACAACATGAGGACAGACACCATGGCGTCTTAGCGACCGTCTCCTATTTAATCCAGACTTGAAAATCAAACTCATAGAAGAATTAACCTCTTTCTTCACTATAAATGATACCTCCGATATATCAGCGGCTACATTGTGGCAAACACATAAGGCGGTCATTAAAGGCCTCCTGATCAGCCAAGCTTCTTACCTAAATAAACAGTCAAAACAAGAATACATCTCTTTATTGAAATCCCTAAGAGACGAAACAAACACACAGATTCAAGCCCCAAACCCCGCTACACAACAACGAATAGATGACATAAGAGGACAGCTAAATGATATACACTTGAAGGTTACAGCCTCAATAGCTCATAAGTTGACAACCTATACCCAAGGCAATAGAGCAGGGAAGACCCTAGCCAAGATGTTAAGACAGAAACGACAAAATGCCAAAATCCCATATCTCATAGATGCAATGGGCAATAAAATTTATAATCCTCAAACAATTAACGACATGCTGGCAGACTACTACACCACGTTATACAATTTGAGGGAAGATAAGCATACACATCAACCACTACAGACAGAGATAGATGCATTCATAGAGAACGCCCAGCTGCCACAACTTACACGAGAAGACCAATCCCTGCTGACAGAACATGTCACCCAAAAAAGAAATTGCAGCCACAATTAAAACACTTCCCAAGGGAAAATCCCCAGGCCCAGATGGGTTCACAAACTTATACTATAAAACCAATTTGTTAGCCCCCACTTAGAAAAGCTATACAACCATATATTAACTACAGGCGTCATACCACAAGAAATGCTACTTGCTCATATTACGACTCTGCCAAAACCGGGAAAACCACCTAATAAATGTCAAAATCTGCACCCTATATCGTTGCTTAATACGGATTTGAAAATCCTTGCTAAAATCTACGCTAACAGGCTATGCCAAAACTAATAAAAGATGACCAAGTGGGGTTTGTCCACAGCAGGCAGGGCTCAGATGGAACTAGGAAATTGATCAACATTATTCACTCGATACAGAAAACGGGGGAGCCCAGTGTGGCAATGTCACTGGATGCAGAAAAAGCATTCGACAGGCTACACTGGGACTACCTGAAAACAGTGCTTCGACAGTATGCATTCCCTGAGGGGTTTATTACTTTAATATCAGCACTCTATGGTAACCCAGCAGCAAAAATCTCCAGTGGGGGTTTCACATCCAAAACATTGCGTATCTCAAATGGATCTAGACAGGGCTGCCCACTATCCCCCC